TGTAGAACAGGAATTGTTTGAAGGAATTTGTGGACGAGGATTGACGTACGGAGGTAGGAATAGTTCCATAAGGAAGCGGCACGAATGACGAAGGATTTGCCGAAGGAAGAGGATTTATGGAAGGTGATATATAAGTCTTTAGGTTGAGATCTGGTATTAAGAGAATGGATAGAGGGACGTAGAGTAAGGAGTTCAAGGATGTAGGGAGGGTTTTTGGTTCTGAAGACTTGGAAAAGGAAAATACCAAGGTATTGTCGTCGGGAAGTAGGATAAAGCCACTTCAACTCGGTGTACCAGAGTGAAACATGTGAACGTCTGAGGATTCCGAAGATGTATCTTATGAAAAAGTTTATGAGTTTCTTCTGTCTCATGGTTCGTTCTGTGGTTCTGAGTGGATTCGATCAGCAAATAGCAGGTCTGGTGGCAGAGGAGATGAAAGAAAGGGGAGTAAAGTTCTTACGTAAGTGTGTACCTGTTTCATTTGAGAAGATTCTGAAGAATTTGACACTGTTCTTATAGCTACTGGTCACAGGCCACACTCCCAGTCCTCACCACTTCTCCGACTCGCTATATTTTTTCAAATTATTGTCTAAATAAGAACCTTTTCTTAATTTTATATACGTTCTTTATAATCTGAATTCTATTGCAATTCAATTCTATTGCAAAAACTTACGCATTTTTTTTTTTCATGTAAGAACACAATACCGCACCATTGGTGATTAAGTTGATTTTTGTCTTTATCTCGATTAGTTCGAGCATAGCGATCGAAGAACAATGTGACCAATTAAGTGTGGAAGACTACTTGAAAAAAAATATCTGGTGTGTCCACTCGCACGATTTTCCTACATATTTCAGAAAAGTTTTTATATCTTTACATATGTTCATGAAGACACACAAAAAAGAAATTGAATTAGATTTATTTTCCTGAAAATTGATCAATAAAAAGATTTGAGTACGATTTATTTGATAAATCGGCTTAAGGTAGATCAGTGTAAAAATGTCAATACTCTCTAATATTGCTGATCAAAAACGTTTTGCCATAGTTTAATTTTTTCAAAGAATAATTTCTGTTAAAAGTAAAGCAAATAGTGATGCTTATGTGATGCCGGCAACAGATTTTCTTATTTTCACTTAGTCATATTTTTTCTCTCATTCACCCCTTTCTGACAACGGAATATGGACCTGTAATCTTACATTGGAAATTGAATAGCTGTAACTTCGTTAATAGTTGTCCAAAATGAACGAATTTATATAGTTGTGTAGGAATTGAATTACCTTTGAAAAGTTATATTATAAATTTTACCGTATAATATAACGCTTATCGAGTTAGGCCCCAAAACATATTTCTTTTCTTTATAACTTCTTTTTCTGAATTTTCTCGAGAATTAAGTCCATATACGAAAATTGAAAGAATAATTATTAGAACCTTATAGGGAAATTTCACAAAAATCTCTAGTCGTTTTCGCGCTACAGTCTACAGAAAAACATGTTATTCATTTATTGCGCGCAAGCTAATCCGCATGGAGCACCGAATATCTGCCACAGGCATCAGTAGTCAAAATCCTACAATCCTAAGATAATCTTGGCACAGACAGACAGACAGACCAGACAACCAGACCAATGGCTAAAAATGTGTTTTTCTGACTCAGGGGGCTCTGAAACGTATAGATCCGTCGAAAACCGCATATCGGAAATTTGTCCCGATCGCAATACTTTCCTTACCTACTAGGTAGGAAAGTAAAAAAGGTCTTCAAGATTTATTCAATTTTATATTATTAATTCATACCTTATATATGAAGTATCCTGATGAAATAAGATTACTGCTGAGATTTGTTGATGAGATCTGCCGCCTACACAAGAGCCGACTGACCTGTAGCTGCAACCCCGAAATCATTAGAAACTATTGATTGGATATGAAAAGAAGCCGGATGACACACGCTGGGTTCTCTAAAGCTCACAATGCGATCGCTGTGCCACATCTTCCTCGAACAATAGTCATCCCAGTCTATAATTCGACTGGCTATTGTCAGTGTTAATGCACTATGGTCAGGAGAAATCTGCACGCAGATCGTACGGAGGCCGATTCACTTTCTGCCCAAGCGTACATATTTTTCGGTAATAGACGATCATGCAGCAAAAATGAATATCCTGATATCCTGATACAGGGGTGCCATGAAGGGGTTTTCATGTACCAGGAGTTTCAAAAGGGTTTCAAGTTGAGCCAACAAATTTTTGAGAGGGCATATTTTGCGGGGGGTTTTAATTTTTGAGTGGGATACATTTCGATTATGAATTTGTAAAATCAAAAAAAGGGAAAAAGAGAAACATTGGACAGACCACATCAACTTTGGGCGAGGTGGCCGAACGGGCTAACGTGAGTGCACAGCACCGCCGTTGCCCCGCAACCTGATCTATGAGATAATAAATTTAAAATAGCCATGAGTTCGCGTACCGGTGGCGGGGAAGTCTTTTAAATCCCCGCCCACACCCCCTGGCCCGGGATAACCACGTATAGCCTTAAAGGCGAGGAAAGAGGGAGGCAAAAAAAAAAAAAATAAATAAAATAAAATAAATAAATAAAAGACCACATCTAGTGTAATTCAATTTAAGATTTTTAAATTCTACTTTCGGTAACACTGTTAAGAAGAGAAGAGAAACAATATATTATCATAGGAGGTGGGGGTTATACGCCATCATTCTTGGGGGGGATGGATACCCCTGTCAGGATGTGAGCAACAATGGTTATTAATCCGATAAAATAAACACAATTATATAAATCAAGCCCAATGTCAGTGGGAAACCATTTAGAAAAGTTATTCAAATAAAACGTTTAAATGAGCACTTCTGTAGAACAATTACTTGAGACAAAATATATTTCTTCTTAGAAAGTGGTGAAGGAAATAATGGTTCTTCGAAAACGTAAAGAAAAAAAAAAAAACTAGGATCCGGCAAGAACTTTAATGATTCTATATATCTTTGAATGCTTAAAATGGCGTACATGGGAACAAGATACAAGGAAAACTGATTTCATCTTTGAATCAAGAGCAACCAGGAACTTCCATATTATTTATTTTCATTTTCTTATTACTAAAAATAGTTAACTTTTTTGAGATTTCTTCTCAGCTTTTTCTGACAAAACCTGTTTGCTTACATTGCATAATATATTTAATTTTTTGAACATTGGAGAAAGCTCTTTTAGGTCTACTTGTTATTATTGTATTCTAAATATGAGATTTCTTGGTTCAATAAAATATAAACTTCTTTGAAAATTCGGTAAAAAGATTTTTATATTATTCATAAAATTTATGGTTCCAATGCCTCTTGAATATGGTCTACATGCATATCGTGCATTGTCTGATGCACATTCACTTGGTCTAATTGGATATAACAGAATTCAGATTATTTGGGCTGTAACGATGAGCAACTAAAAGAAAATTTCTATTATGCCTTTCTTGAAGATTTTCACAAACAGAAGATCCCAAATGAAATATGAAGAAAAGTGACCTACATTCTTTGATATTTAGCCTCGTTAATATGGAACGAAAAATTAAACAATAAGTCAGTCCTATTGAAGGAAATAATTCTCTATTGTTTCCAGACCGATAGTGCGAATATGTTCTTCTCTATTGTGTATGGTTTATTATCTTTACAATATAATATACTGTTCTTTGATTGAATGATCAAGTTGTACTTCGAAATAATTGACAGAGATATTTCCGAGATCGGTATGAAAGTTTTTGTAATTTTGATTACTACCAAAAAGTTTTTGTAATTTTGATTACTGTCAAATTTTCCAATGGCATTGTCGACAACCTTATACTACTGCGTCTGTAAGTTAGCCTTAAATAACAGGATTTTAGTAATATTAAACGAGAATAATGAAACATAATAACGACTTATGTTATATTCCATCGTTTTTTACTGTAAAATATAATATAATTTAAAAATCAACTTTATTCCCTTAAGAATAACAATAGAAACAAATGGAGATCCACTCTTGTCATAAGACAGATTACATGGGCAGAAATTAAAATATCTTTAAATTAAATGCATACTTATATATAGAAAAAAATTAAAAGAAACAAATATATTAAAAAACAAATATGAAATGGTGAAAAAAAGCTCTCCTATTTAAATAGAATGATAGAAAAATGGTAAATTAATCATGTAAACATACATTCTTATCTAGCAAACCAAAAAATAAATAAATTAGAACATATGTAAGATGTATAACTGACTAAACATAAGTGCTTAGAAGATGTAATAAATAAATAAACATTATAATAAATTCTAACCAAGGTGTCTATTCAGAGTAATATGAAATATGTATTTATATACCTTAAAAAAAAAAACAAGTTTAAAGAAAAATAAATCCTTATTATATAATACATTTTTAATCAGCGATTACGTTGTGAAGAGCAAATGGAAAAGGGAAGTTTTATGTGTGGATAAGGATAGAGCGTGGTGAGTTTTGAAATGAAGCATATTTATGAAAAGGGGTATAAAGGTCAGAGGGTCGAGATCTTGTATTTAGCTTAGTTGGATACATCAATGAATCGATGATGCTTAAAATTAATTTTAATTAAAAAAGTATTTTATTTTTGTATATAAAAAATGTATTTGCGCCTGTCAACGTATTGTTGACTATCAGCAAATGTGATGGCGATACATGAAATAATGACATGACAGGCATGGGGAAGGAAAGAACTCTGCAGTACCTCTTCCCTAACTTTTTCCAATTACTTAGGTTGTTTAAGGAAGGAGATCCCTCATCCAACGCCTTTTTAGTCTCCTCCTCATGTTGTGAGAAATCTCAGCTGTGGCCATGTCTCTGATTAGTCTGTTATTATGTCCATTTAAATTTGTGTAAAATCGTTGATGAAGGATCGCTATATGTTGGTCAACTGTTGGAAAGTGGAGGTCAGTATGTAGAGATTTGTTAGTCACGTACCAAGGTGCTTTTGTTATAAGTCGCAATAATTTAAAAAAATATATTAAATTAAGGTTTTAGTCTTGTTCAGAACTTAACTTTATTTATAGTTTTTTCTGAAAGGTTTTTCATCTTTATTTTTGTTTTTTTCTAGTTGCTTCTTAGTGTTAGTTTTTCGTTCCAGTGACGATAACTTATCAGAGGAGCTAGTCTTCCTCTTCACTACGTTGGTTTTCGATTTCCTAAGAGAGTTGGACTTTTCAGATCTTTCAGATGAGGAACATGAAGATTTCCTCGTAGGAGACGGAGACTTATTCTTTCTATTCCTGTACCTCTGTTTATTCGTCTCGTAAACGCAACAAGATGAATTCGATCGGGGAAAGGACGTAGATCGGTTGAATGTGGAATCGGAATGAATCTTCACCGGGATACGACTCCTGGAGGTTCTGCCCATCAGTAGTGAGCTCAGCTTCTTGTTTTCGATTTCCAACCTATAGATCTTGTCGCTATAAACTATTTTATCGTGTTTCAGCTGAGTTTCAAGCTTTCGGATCAGTCTATTATCCCATTCATCATCTTCACGTTCTGAAAGCTGCTTCTTCAATCTGTTGTTTTCTTCATACAAGTTCTTATTTTCGTTGTTCAGTTGAGAAATTAGTTTCTGGAAGGACGCTTCTCTGGACTCGACATCAGACTTAAACTTCGCAATCTGTCTCGACATATCACACCTCATTTGACTAATAACATTTTCCAACTTCTTTATGGTATTTTGGAGTACGTCAGGATCCGGTTTACCACAGTATTCCAACGGAAGTGGGTAGTGAATTTTATCGAACTCTACCTGATAAATTAGGATAAGATACCTCCTGTTCTTTAGAGATGGGTTTAGCACATTGGTTCCTTTCTTACGTCTCGTCTCTAGTTCTTCCTGTGTCAAAAGTTCTACGTAAACGCATTCGTTCGTCTTTAGCAAACCGGCTTTCAACATAGAAATGAATACCATAAACTGCTTAAAGTTGCCTGTTTTGCGTGTTAAATTTTCGATGTAGGATGAATCGTAGGCACATTTCCATTTTTCAGCGGTTGTTTTGTCGGTCACTAATACTTTCAATACGTTAGATTGAACGCACAACTTAAGAATAAAGTTTTGCCCATTAGAATTGTTTAATGAGACTAACAAGTGCGTATCATCTGTCTTAAAAACCATGATTATCTAATGAAATCCTTAACTTATTTATATTGACACTACCAACACACATACACATGGTTACATAATTGATCTAAAACATTTGGTAATAGTATACATAATAAATATCTAAGCGATAATAGAAGCCAATCTTATGAACTGAGTATACATTTATTTTATAAAAATAAACTTTGCAGCATAAACGTAGAATCATGTGATATAGACAGATGACAAAATTGATCAAAAATTATTAGATAAAATGATGGTTATACATTTTTCGAATGTTATATGGTTTATACTTAAATTACAATTGTACTCCTATGTTAAATCCTGGATCATGTATCTCTATCATTAACGATTAGGAAAGTAATGTTTGTTATCAACTAAAAAAATTTTTAATCACAGATTACAATTGATTAAATTATTATTTTCTTATTGTTTTGAATTATTATTGATTGTTATTTTGCTTCTATTTATTTTATATTTGTCTGTACATATAGTGTGAATGCTATTCTACCTCACTGTAACTAATGTCCAAGTGACTAGTTGTTGTAATAATCAATTAATAAACAAATGAAAAGAGTTTTGAATAAGAAATAATTTGAATATGGCTATACTTATGCTTATAAAATTACAAAAAGTTTACTAACAACTTTAAGCTTTTTGTTGAATAGGAAGCGATAACTAAAGAACTATTTGATATAAGTAATTAGCCATTAATTTACTGTAAACTAGACAAAATATACTTCAAATTAAAATATAGCTTGTCATTATTAAAACCAGGCGTGCCCATCTCTCCGTAAGACCGATGGCGCAAAAACCTCCCCTCACCCCATTTTTATTTTATTCCTATCTTCTTCTTAAAAACAGCGCAAACGAAAGTAGAATTTAAATATTCGTCGATTATATACCATTACACATCCTGTGGTCTGTTCCGTTGTTTTACTTGTATTTTGATTTGAAACTTTTCATTTTGAAAATTCATAATACCGTCGGATTCTGCCCCTCTCAAAAATTGAAAACCCGTCAAAAAGCGAACCCTCCCCACGTCATCAATTTTTATGGCGTAACTTGGGCCATGAAACCCATTTCTGGACACCCCTAGTTAAAACCATTTAACGAGGACTTTTGATTGGATAAACTAAGCTAAGTTGTATTTTTAAAAAGTCGTAAATTATAGCCAATTTTTTTTTTTTTTTATTATCGTCAAACTATACTATAGATACCACACGTTTAAAAAAACTTCCTTTTTTTAATAAGCTTGAAGTCAATATTAATTAAGTCAATATTAATTAAGTTAAAGTTTACTACGCAAAAACTTGAGCTTTGCCTCAAGTTGTTTAAAAAAAATATGTGATTTTTAATCTTATCACCTAAAAGTATCCGTGCTTTAGAAAAAATGACTGAAATTAACTGTTGCAAAGCTTTATTTCTCGTTATTCCATGATCTGGTTTGTAACAGATAAAGATGATTGTCTAAATACACTTTTTATTTATACAATTTTTTTTAAATAAATATTTTTCATGTAAAGTGGTTATGAAACTGTGTTTTTTTCCCAGATTTCTTTCGTAGTAAGCGACAAACTTAATGTTGCTGATCCTAATATTTACGTTTTCATGAAAATAATTCAAGTAATCAGTATGTTTCTTTAATTTAAACGTAAATTTTAGCACTAGAAATATTTATTTTTTCATTATAAATATGGATCTATTCCTATAATAGAGATCTGGCTGGAAAACACAATTTCATAAACACTTAATATGAAAAATATATGAATTTTTTTTATTTTTTTGTTTAAATAAATAGTATATTTAGACAATTATGTTTATTATAATAAATCTCTGATCACGGATAAAGAAGAAAAAAAATCTTTGCAAAAGTTAATTGTGGTCACGTATGCTGAAACCTGCTGGCACGGATACTTTTAGTTGACAGGAAAAAAAATCAGATAACTTTTTTTACGGAAATCTCAAGTTTTTGTCGGATAAACCTCAACTATACTAGTATTTACAGGTTATTAAACGAGGAAGCTTTTCCAGTGGGGTACCTTTAGTATAGTTGGATGATGATGCAGACAATCGGGAATAACTTATGATTATTTTAACAACAGAACTGAGCTTAGTTTAGCACCTAAAAATTCCATTAGTTTTAACAACTTCAAACTCTATTTTCATTTGAATTAAATTTTGTCCAGTTTACAGTGAATCAATTATTAGTTACTCAAATCAAATATTCCTTAATCCTTTATATTCCTTATTAAACAAAAAACATGGCTTACTTAAAAAAAAACACAAAACTTAGATTTCCTACTTTTCTGCTGAAAATTGGCCCATTATTTACAAATGTTTTTGTAGCTTTTGAGATCTGCTATCACTTCTAAAAAAAAAATCAATATACTTACGGGACACCCTGAATAATGAAGGGCAGTTTCCGGTGCTTGTCTACACATATAGTTGGTTGATTGTTGTATAGGAAATACGTTAAACCTGTTGATCATCAACGCCGTTAATTAAAATTATATATTACTGTATCTTTTAGTTTTGAATATTAAGAATTGGATAAAATTAAAAAGATATAAAATGCGCTTTAATGTTAAAGTTGTTAACGGTTATTAAAGTTTAGTTATTTAAAGGTAGCACGTTAGGTAAAAGAGAAAAAAAAATGAAGGTGTTCAGGAAACTTTCCAATTTTTAATTAAGGCAAGGAAAATATCTCTCATGAGTTCTTAATAGGCAACATTCAAATTTTATTGGGCAACATTATACTTTTATGCAGTGGACTGTATTTTAATGGATTGGTAGGTTATACTGATCGTGCAAAAATAGCTTACCATCTTTATGCTGGAAAAGACATCTCTTTATTACCTTGAGGGCGCCCTCAAAGCATCTGGGGCATCTACCATGACTGACTCTCTTTGCTGGTCTGGGTCAAGAGAAGCATTGCTCGTAAGAATTAAGCGTTATCTTTTCGATCTTCTGATCTTTCTCCACAACTTGCCATAACTGGAAAACTTGGAACCATTTTGGCACAAACAGAGGGAAACAAAGGTATAGGAAAGAAAGAAAGAAGGTATAAGAAAAAAAGCATAGATGGTTCAATGGTATTTTTAAGGAACTATTTCTTTTGTCTGAGCCCAATACATTCCCTCTACTCCCTCCATGCCCAATCGAGGACTTCTTTTCGTTGATTTTTCTTTGTTATTACTGTTGCAGATTCTGGGTCCATAATAGAGATGTCAGCTCCATTTCTTCGAAGCGTGTTGGTTTTATCATTACCTTTGTTCTCCTCATGACCGCATACTACGTATACTAATTTCACTATCATGGAACAGGCTAATCTCTCCAATGCCTGTTTGCACTCTCGCATCAGTGTGGAGGTCACTTTAGGGTACTCAATTAATGATGTGTTGGCTTTAATATTTAATATATATCTTTACATATATTTAAGGGATATATATTTAACATATCTCTGGTCCACCCTGAGGATTTTCACATTCTCCATGTTGCAACAGATTAACATTATCGAGAAAGAAAAATATAAATATTTTAATAAGATAATGCACCAAGAGATTTTCTTTAAATTCGAGACTTTGGCCTCTATCACCTTATTTGATACATAATAAATTTCTAAATTTATAATGATTTTTTTTTTTATCTACAGGCAGTAAACATTCAGGCAAGTAGGGTAATTTTAGCTTCCTCGCCATTTTAATGGTTACATAATAATCTATACATAGTGAATCCAAGGGTCCAATATGAACCCAAGGAATAAATCATTGAATTTTGATTTTTTTTACTTAAACACTAAGAGGAGAACATTTAGTGTTCGCTCATAGACTCATACACATGCATTTCATAAACTAAACGGTTTAACGGGGTGAGGGGACTCTTATTCATTGGACGGTAATGGACAAAGGGATCCACAAACATCCAGTTATTTCAGGGTTCATTGGCAATGGTTCCGAGAACAAACCAACCTGTACCGCTACTAAGGCTGGTTAGTGGGGCATTATCAAAGCAACAATATTAGATTTGTTTATAAGCACTTGAAAAAGTTTATTATTCTACTAGACCAAGATTAAAATTGTTGCGTGTCCATATCGACTCGATCGATAACAAGTAATGGTTCTTGGATCAGGCTAATAATCTAGTACGCAGAAATTATATATTTTTTTCTTAATACTATTTTATATTATTGATATTGAATAAAATAAAGTGTTGATTTGAAGAAATACGTATTTTATTAGTTAGTCTTACATGTACAGTGGAAACCATTTAACAGCAATGATGCGGCGAATTCTATTCTTGATAGCACGAAATTTTATGATAAGAGAGGTTATGTTCAATAAATTTAACAAATTTTAATGATAATTATTAAAACATTACGAAATGGGCAAGTATTTACATAGTATGTTATAATTTTCTCATTAAAATTGTATGTTACTGGCAAAATATGATTTATTTAAAACTGAAAAATATATGCATTTTTTTAATTTTTTGTTTACAAAAGTCCAAAATTACGAATTCACACTGCATGATTATGTATCTCTCTATTACGAAACAGTGTTTATATAAAAAGAAATTTAAAAGAATATATATTCCGATTTCTGGTATGAAATATCCAAAAAGACAATACAGCATCTGTTTATTAATTTGAATATTATAATATCGAGTCACTTAAATAGCATTAAGCCTCTCGAAGTTTTACAAATTCATTTGTCATCAGAACAGATAAAAAATGTAAATTTACACTTAGGTTGATAATCCACATATCAATAGTCTCAAAAGGCTGGTCACAAAATGACATATCATTTATAAACCATGTTGATGGTTTGCTTGTTTAAAATAACAACTTTTACACACAAAAAAAAACTGTATTTCTATTATATAGAAATAAAAAGTTGTGCTATTTTTTGCTTGTTATATTTTAATAGAACCTCGACATTGGTGAAAAAAAAAACACCGAATATTATAACTAGATAGATATTATCAGCAAAGATGCTGCAGATGTGGATAATTATAACTAAGCCGTAATGAAGAAGTGGATTCAATTGCAAAGTTACCTGCTCATAGTCACCTTCCTCTATCATATAATAAGATTTCTATGTCATATATTAAGGCAGACCTCAGAAAGGAAACATCAGTCAAATAGAACCAAACCTGG